CGCCGCCGTCCCCATGGCTGGGGCTCAATCTCATGCTCTTCTGAAGACCTCCACACTACCATTTTGTGACATTTACAGCATCATGTGTTTTGTTTCTTTTGCAAAATTTCATTGTAGGTTGCTTGAAACATACCTTGGAAAAGGGATGAGAAATTCTGCTCAAAGGACTAACCTTTTTTTCCCTTAGAAAAGAAAGCGAATGAAATGTACTGAAGCCCCCATGGTTGCTTTTGAAATGTCCTGCTTGATTTATGACTAGTGATGAAGTGCATGTAACTGATGATGTGCCAAGTTACTTCTGTTAAGGTAAAATGGCTCTAGTCTGTCTATAGGTTTCACCAGGGCTAATTGCATGGGATATCACTCATCTAAAGAAAATGTGTCAAATCTTGAGCAATTAGCAAAAAACTTGAGTATGATATTAAATTACAACTAATATTTAACAGCTCTACATTAATCTCTGAGAAGCTAATGAAGGAGCACTTACTGTTTTTACTTGGCAAATTTAATATATCCTTCAGTCCACAAAAATATTTACTGCAAAATAAGAACATTTGGATATTTATATTTTATATTTAACAATATAAAATGCTTAGTCTGAAGGGGTTACATTTCAGTGATCCAAAGAAAAATCATAACAAGGGCTCTGTGCTGTGTTCAATTTAAATAGAATTTTAACTGGTTAATGACTTACCTATTCCATTTAGGTCCTTACTGAATCCAGACTAATTTTTATGGTTGACTTATCTATTTCTAGTGGTATAAAATTTTCATTTGCTTCCTATATATGTTAGAAGAGTCATCTCCATTCCCTTTTGTGTGCTCTTAGGGGCTCTGTGAAGACTTCCTTCTTTCCCAAAATAAGTCTTATAAAAAATAGTTTTCTTTTGGTAATATTTCTTTAACAGGGAACAAAAACCTTAATGTAATTTATTTATTCATCATATCTTCCAGCCTTGCCTCTGATTTTGGTTTTCTGAAATGTTTTTCAAAAGAAGCTTAGAAAATATCAGTGGCCCTATAAAACTAGCTACTGACCAGTGATGATGTGATTAGGACTCAAAATGATCACGTTCTAGTTCTGTGTGTTGGCCAGTTTCTTATTTCTCTGAGACTCAGTCTCTTCATCTTTAAAATGAACTGAATGGGGCCAGCAGATGGCATAGTGTTTAAGGTACTGGACTCCCACATTACCAACCACGATTCTCTCTCTGGTGAGTAAGCATCCCTGTAGCAAATTTAAAAATGATGATAAATAAAATTAATAAGTAATTCTTTAAAAAAATAAAATGAGCTGAAAATACTCATGTCACAAAATGAGATAAAATCTGTAAAACACATAAAGCACTTAGCAAAGTTTAATATATAATAGATGTTTAGTATATAATAGATGCTCAATGGATGTTTGCTATCATTATTACAATGTAAACATTTAGACATTAAAAGATGTCTTTCTTGGAAAAGGTTAACACACGTTTTCTGGCACTAATGTATTCCTATAAAATATTGAAAGTGATCCTGAGGTGGCTACTGAACTTCAGCTGTGAATATTGCTTTCAGAGACTAAAAATGAAGATCATCTGCTGAGACTTCTCTCTCTAGATTCATTTCTAGTGGGAAGGGCTACCTCTGTATCCGTCTCTCCACCTCTCTGTCTCTCTGTGTCCCCCTGTGTCTTTTAATTAAAAAAAAAATTTTTTTTAAGGTAAAGTATTCTCTGGGCTCTCAAGCCTCTCCTTTATCATGCTAATTTGTGCCTTTCCCATCCTATTTAGGAGAGGCACAAATCCAGGCCCATCCTGAGAAGGCTACTGAACTTGAATTGTGTAATATTGCATTCATGCCACACTGTTCATTTTTTTGCTTTTTAAAATTAAAATATAAAAAAATTTTATTGTCTTTTTTTCTTTTTTCTTTTCTTTTCTTTTATTTATTTTTTCTTTTTCTTTCCTCTTCTCTAATTCTTTTCCTTTTTCCTTTAACTTCATTCCTTGGCTGCTCAGCCTCCACGTGCTGAGTGTCTAGACAGGTCCAAGTGAACTGTATTCAAACATCTGAATATGATTAGGGTCAGAATATTCCTCAATTCCCAATGAATCTGACGCACAAAGAGTGAAAAGCGAACGGAAGAGAGATTGCAGATCATTTCCTCCTACACGCCTCTGAACCTTCAGATTAAACTTCAAGTATTAGGAAAAAATGTCAGATAAAGAATTTAGAGTATTCATAGTGACTAAAGCTAACAGAGATGGAAAAGAAGAGAGACAATGAACTGCAGAAGAGGCAGGAGAAAGGAGCTGATGAGTTCCAGAAGATGTGGACATTCTTGCATGATCTGAAAAAGGAAATATACACCATAAAAAGAATCAAATGGAACTAACTGTTAGAGATGATGGCTACAATACAGGAAGTCAAAATCTTCTTGAAAATATTAAAAGCAGACTAGATCATACAGAAAATCGAATCTCAGATGTAGGAGATAGAATTGCTGGCCTAGAAAAATTCACCACGAGGACTGAGAAAATTGCCCAGAAAAGAGAGAATAATATATGAGAAATACTAGATACCATCAAACGCTCAAACATCCCGAAAACTAGTATCCCAGAAGATGGAGAGACTCATAAGGGCTTTGATAATCTATTCCATGAAATCCTGGAAGAAAACTTTCCAGTCCTAGAGAGGGGCATTTGAAGATCCAGTCCCAAGAAATACAAAGGACCCCAAATAGATTCAACCCAAGATCTTCTCCAAGACACATTATAGCCAGATTGATCAAAACCACAAAGACAAGATACTAAAACTGGCAACAGAGAAAAGGCAAGTTACCTACATAAGCTATCCCATCAGGCTAGTGGGCCTCTCATAGGAACAAGGAAAGAATGGGAAAATATACTCAAAATGTTGAAAGAAAAACTATTTCAATCAAGTATACTATATCCAGCAAGATTATTCTTCATATGGGAAGAGAAGACAAGATAAACAAAACTTGAAAGAACTTACCGACACCAGACCAGTTCTCCAAGAAGTTCTGAAAGGAGTGCTATGTCAGGAAAACTAAACACAGACACACAGAAATAAGAGTTCTAAAACAACTAATAAAATGGCCAGCTTAATGGTAGAGACAAGTCCAAAGTTGAACGTTATCTTCCAGAATTTAAACAGAAAGTCAGACCACAACAGAAGACAGATTAAGTACATGAATCTGATCTGGTGAAATAGAATTTTATGACTTTTGACTGAAACATTACTGATCTTCTGTGCTTTGTTTTCCAGTGTTAAGGATTTTTGTCTTCTCTTGAGTTGTGGACAGGTCCATGAACCTACTATTCAAACAGAATCTTAAACTGTTTCCTGGCTTTAAGTCTTAAGTTCTCTTAATATTTTTTTATTTTAACTTATAAAGCTAAAACTGCCTTTCTTGAAATAAAAATATATTTATTTATTTTGGTTTTATAACAGTATTTGAAAATCAGCAGTTAGTTCTCATCCACATTGACTGTAGATTTTTGAATGTGGTAACAGGTGCATAGGTCACCAGAGTGTAGAGCTTGTTGGGCAAATCTTCATCCTCATTTTGTTTTCTGGACAACCGCACACGGATTCGATATGGGACATTCCTTATTCCTTTGGCCCAGACAGCTTTGTTGAGTCTGGTATCAATGTGCACATCTGGAGTCCCCATCTCTTTCATGGCAAATTTCCGGAATTTTTTGAGTGCCTGAAGCGCACGTTTCTTGAAGCCCACGCCATGGATGCGCTTGTGAATGTTGATAGTGTATTCCTGGGTCACCACCTCGTTGATGGCAGAACAGCCCTTCTTCTCTCCACCCTTCTTTGTGAGAGCCATTCTGCCAAGCCTAAGCTGGAAAGAAAGAACGCAGAGGATTGTGGGCAAAATAAAAATATATTTAAAAAATACCTAATTAAGGACCACAGTAAGCTATATAGCCTCAGCTAGGTGCTACTTTATAGTGTGTTCATTCTACCCATAGTTTCATGCCTAAAGTCAACATATGTTCACAGATATGTATATATCAGCTGAACTTGCTATTGAAAGTATTTAGATTAATTAAGATATTTTGTGAATTAATGAAATGTGGGAAAAAAATAAAAAATGAATGGAAAGTAACTACAAGTACCAGAGACAGTGTGGGAAGAGGCTGGGAAATGGCAGAGGGTGAGAAATAGGGGGAAAATAAAATATATATATATACAAGAAACAAGAAGTGGAAAATTATTTGTTGATGATAACATTTATGATTAAGTCACTTTACAGTGTATTCTGGATGGGACATCACATTTTGTATGCTGTGATGATGTTCAGTCAAATAATGTAAAATAAGTAATTTAATAAAAAAAAAAAAAGAAAGAAAGAAAAAAAGAAAGAAAAGAAAATCATGCCGAGGTGCTTGCTTCGGTAGCATATATACTAAAGCTGGAATGATACAGAGATTAGCATGGCCCCTGTACAAGGATGACACACAAATTTGTGAAGTGGTCCATACTTTTTATGCATGGTAATTGTTCTGGAAAAAGAAATGTTATACACTGTAAAGATATATGTGATTAAATGTGATATAAAAAAATAACAAAAATATCATGCTAGGTGTGTGTGTATATATGTCCAAGATCCTGGGAGGAGAATGGAGAAGAAGGGATTACAGCATGGCTATTCTTTTGGGGGGTGGTTTCTCACTTTCCTTCTCATTGTCTGTATGTCTCTCTCTCTCTCTGTGGCATGCACTTGTGCCCTAAGGCAAAAAACCTCTTTAAAAAAATAAAGCATGCCAGAAAAAGTAGGTCTTAGATTTTATTTTTATTTAGTTATTTATTATTTTAGAGAGATTTTTACTGTAGGGTATGTCCACTCATTAGAGACAGAGAGACAGAAAGCAGGAGATCACTCCCCTGGGGGGGATGGCCACACCACAATCTCCCTTTTCCTCCATTCTCCTCTTGGGATTTTGGGCATACACACACATGTGCCCGGCATAAGTTTCAAGCCTCCGGATCTGGGACTTGAACCACGGTTGACCATGTGGGAATACAACAACATAAACATTACGCCATCTGCTGGTCTCAGGTCTTAAGTTTTAAAATGAGATATTAGCCTAAATTCCTCCAAGAATTACTGTGAACTGCCTTGTACCTAAATTGTTGTTGAACTTCTTTTAACTTCTGAATCCAATTTGCTACCGTATCTTTTGCTTCTTGCATCTGTGTGTTTGACATCTGGCCTCTCTGGTCTCTGCTGTTGGGGTGGCTAACCTCTGGCCTTTTCCCCTGATTCTCTCTAACCAGAAGGTTTGACTTTGTTACTTCACCTCATCTACCCAGGCCTGAACTTTCAACTCAAAGATCGTGTTTTGACTTTGTCCTACCAGGTCAGCATTGAGGAACCTGTCTGTGGATTCTGTACATGATGCTAAGATGTTTAAGTAATCAGTTAATGGAACTGGTAGAGCATATACTAAAACACTGAATAAACACTCATAGGGAAGATTCTAGTAATCTGCTTCTACACTCTGGACTGAGCCTCTAGTTTCAGTTTAATGCCCATTTTGTTTGGGAAATTTAAATATGACTTGGCTGGATTACTTGTCATATTTCCAAGCAACTATGATTTCCTTGAGTTTGCTTTGCATCTTAAAAAATAATTTATTTTATTTTTAAAATTTTATAGAGGCCATGTGCACTCCCTGGAGAGAGACAGAGAAAGGAAAAGTGATATAGCACCTTTATTATGGGGTATGGTTACACTGCAATTCTTTCTCGTCCATTTCTCCTTTTGGGATTTTGGGCATGTACACACATGTGCCTAGCAGGTTTTTCAGACTACCAGGTCTGAGACTCAAATTGCACAGTCAGCCATGTGGGGTCCAGTCACCTTAACCACCATGCCATCAGTGGCCCAAAAAAAGAACTTTTAAATCTGATATGACATTCATTGTTAAGACCCAGCTGAAGTGTTGCAGGTGGAAAGGTGCTGCTGGGACTGCATGGAAGGTCCAGGTTTGGTTCCTGGCGCAGTGTGAACAGGTTGCCTGTGGTTCTAACTATGGTAAGCTGGGGCAGTGGGGTCATGACATGGTGAGGCTTTGTCAAAAATTTCTCTTGGGACCAGCAGATGGCATAGTGGTTATGTCGCTGGTCTCCCACATAATTGACTGAGGTTCGAGTCCTGGACCTGGCAGCTTAAAACTCATGCCGAGTGCATGTGCGTGCATGCCCAAAATCCCATGAAGAGAGTGGAAGAGAAAGGATTGCAGCATGGCCATCCCCCTGGGGAGGGGTTATCTCTTTATGTCTCTCTGCCTCTCTCTCTGTCTCTCTGGTGAGTGCACACACCCTATAGCAAAAATCTCTCTCTCTCAAAAAAAGAAAAAAAATCTCTCTCTCTCTCATACTTTTTCTCTCGCATAAAAAAATAATAATAATGATTAAGACATAGGGAAGTACAGAGAGGATACAATGGTCCTTTAATCCTTTTGTAGAAATAGCTAGTTAACATGTGGTACTTTTTTCTTTTCATAAAGATTTATGTAATTGAGATAGCATTTCTGCATTTTCTATTTAACACTATAATAAGCATCCTTCACTCCATAAATACCTCTTTATAAACATGATTTTAATCACTGTATAATATTCTATATATGGATGTAGATTTACAATATTATAAATTTATACTGATTTCATTGGTTTGGTTATTAGAAATAACACTAAATAATGATATTTGTGTGCAAATATTTTCCTCATAAATTAACAACGGAGTTTCTTTTGAAAGAATTAATTAGTTAATTAATTTATGATTTGATAAGAAAGAGAAAGTGAGAAAGCAAGCCACTAGGTCCGGGACTCGAATGGTGGTCAGCCTTGTGGGAGTGTCCAGTGCCTAAACCACCATATCACCTGCTGGTCCCAACAATGGAGTTCTAATGCTCTTTTTTAAAAAGCAAATTCTTAGTTTTATCTTATTTCTGCTACTTTTGAGACTGGAGTAAGTAACAAGGCTGAGACAATAGTATAGAAACTTGAATATCTACTAAATGAATAAATAGTATGAAAAAGGTGATTTGCTCTCAGTAAAAATGAATATATGCAAGTGTGGAGTTCAGTGAGGGCTCTATCTTTGAACATAAATACATTAAAGAGGAGGGATATAGAAATGAGGAGAAAAGTAAGTGAAACTAAAAATAATAATCAGCAAACTGCTTTCTATTCCTGTGAAATACTTCTATTACCAGAATAAAGAATATACTCATTTCTTGCTTGCCCATTGAGGCAGATTGCTAGCCCATGAGCAAACCTGTTTGTTCTTCCTGGACACATTAGCAAGACTGTTTCCCAGCCTTCCTTACAGTGAAGTGTGGACAAAGGAAGATGAGCCAGAGATGGAAGCCACTTCCAGGCTTCCCCATAACACATTCTCACTTTCAGTCCTCTGTGTTTTATCCACTCAGCTCTTGATGCTCAGAAGGTGCAAGCCATTTGCTCAGGGTGGTAGAATCACATGATGGAAGCAGCCAGATTCTGTACTCTCTACTTGGAAACCATTACTGGAGTAAATAACAATTTGAGTTATGGGAGCCAGAAACCTACACTCATTTTCCTTCTCCTTCACTCTCACATTCCATCTATGAGGTCCTTGATTTTTGTCTCCTACATGTGCTGAATAGTTCATTTCATCTCGCAACCTGTGTTCTTGTCCAAGTTAACGTGGCATCTTTCCCCAGGTTGCTGGGATCACTTTCTAACTTGCATCCATTCCTCTTCCAGCCTATCTCCAGGTCAAAGTGCAAATCTGATGATATTACTTACCTGCTTAAATAAATAGTAGGTTGTTGGGAAAGTCATGACATATTTTTCTATGCAAAAAAAGCCTCATGATTTTCCAGACAACCCAATAGCTTCCCATTGATCTACGAATACAGATGCAGCTTCTTCAATGATATCTGCTCATCTCTCCATGCTTATCCCAAGCTCCAGGCATATCATTATTTTGGTTGCTTGGACTCTGTCCCAGAAAATGTTCATTCCTGCCAATGGTATTCATATATGCACATCTCTTTTTGCTTTCTCCTACCTTTATAATGTAGTTAGTTCCTCATTTTTTTAAAGTATTTATTTAATATTGTTTATTTGACCAGAGAGAGACAGGGAGAGAGAGAGTGAGAAAACAAGTTGCCAGATTCAGGACTCAGACTGTGGTAGTCCAGTGGCCCTAACCACCATACTACTGGCCAGCCCAACTCTTGCTCACCTTTAAGATCTTCATGTGACATTTTTTCCAGGGAGGGTTGAGATGTCATTTAATTTTCTTCTAATACAGGCTCTTGTAGCACCTCATGCATTATTTATTTATTTATTTGTAGACATGGTCACAGTTGCAATTTACAAATTCTATGTAATTTAAACATTTCATTTGTTCGTGGGATTATTTGATTGTTTCTCCAGTAAACTGTAGTTCCTTAAACGTAGGAATAAATAGCCATCCTATCTATGCTTGTGGAAAGAATGGAATAAAGGGAGAAAGGAAAGAAAGAAAAAAAGGTTGGGGAAATGAAGAAACTGGTGGATGGAGTGAGATTTGTCACCACATCATTCAGTATTAGGAGTCAGGATCTTGGCCGAGTGTTAGGAACCATAAGGTTTATGAGGTTTCTTGACATGTTGTTTGTTGTGTTTTGCTTCCATGCCTTCGTGTATAAATTCTCTCTGTTGAAACTCCTTTCCTCTACTTAAAAAAGCCATGTTCCACCTTTAAGATCTGTCCAGGGGTGCTTTCACTAACACAGCTCCCTCCCCACTTGTGCTCCCTACATATTTAGTTGAAAACTCTGATTGCTTATGACAAGAATTTCTGTAGAAAATGTTAATTAGTAGAACTATATTTCAGTCTTTAGTATGTTTGAAATTTTTCAACTGATACTTTATAAAATGTCTTTGACTTCAACCAAAGACATTGCAACCATGTAAATTTTAAATATTTCTGTTAAATGTAGGAAACCTCTATCAAATTTCTATTACATGAAATATGTTTGGGTTCTTATCATTCCAAATTTTCTTTTGCAGAGGCTCATCTTAAATATCCTTGAAATGGCTACCTATTAGCCAGCGAGTTGTTTATTATTATTTATTTTTCAGTTTTACCAGAGAGACAGAGTGAGAAAGCAAACTGCTATATCCGAGACTCAAACTGTGGTCAGCCACATCGGAGTCCAGTGCCTTAACCACCATACCACCTGCTGACCTCAGTCAGTGAATTGTTGATGCCCTGTTGTAGTGTATAATAATCAGTTTATGTGATATTCACTGATGTTATTGTTCCATATCAAAGCAGAGGACATTTAAATATTTTTCTAGTGTGTTCACATCATTGACTCCTCTTCATTAATTTGATTACTATTTAACCCAGGAGTCTATTCATTACTTCTATTTGAAATTTATTTCTTCCTGTCAATACATTACAGCTTTTGGTATTACTGAAAAATAGTTTTGGTTACAGTTTA